TCCTAAAAACAGGTAAATTCATTATTAACGCACAAGTTTTACACCTTAATAAATTTTTTTTTTTCTAAATAAAAGTTTATATGAATATTGCTTGTCTGGTTGAAGATATTATCCAACCCATATCAGATATTAAGTATTCTTGCAAATATTATACCGTTCTCCGATCCATAGTTGAATATTAACATTTACAATTTTAAAATTATTGCTATAACATTATTATTATTTAATATAAATTATATAAAAGATATTATTTTTTTTGTGCAAAAAGGTGTCAGAAATAAAAGTAACTGTCAAACAATAATTACTTCTTTAATATATCTGGGCATCTAAAATACGTGGATTATAATTTTATTATCACTGGATTTGAAATTTCACATTTTTTAGCTATCAGAAATTGTATGCTTTTTAGAGCTAAATATGGTAATTTTACTTTAATTATTTGATCGATATAGGTCAGTGAATTTTTAAAAAGGTTAAAACGAATCTTTTTGGAGGAATCATAATACTGGAAATCGTAGTTCTCTTTAGTTGAAATTGATTTAATATCATCTTACTTTTTTTATTTTTGGTCAAATAAATATATCAGTATTTCAAAATTTAATAAATAAAGAATTTGATACGTATTCAAATATCTCAGTTAATTTCAAAAGTTACGGGACAGCCGGTAATGTATAAGGATGCGGAAAAGCATCCACATGTTTTGTGGTAAAAATAAATGTACCTCTATATACTCGGAACACTTATCCGAACGTAGCGAGAGTATTTTTCTTTCAGAAAATTCTTACCAGTTTTATTTATCGATGACTTTTGAAAATACGAAAATATGATTATGTACAGTAAAGGTACAAAAAATTTGACATTAATCAATCAACCAATAATTTATAGATTTAAAAAGATAACTTGTGACTTTAGTTGCATTCTTTTAACTGCTTGCTACTTGAGAAATTTTATAAAAACAATCAATCTCTGGGTTCAATAAAATTTTTCCTTATCCTTCAAACGGGTTTGCATTAAATAGGATATTGACAATTCTGTGTAAAGATAAAAGGGAAAGTATCAAAATTTTGTATTATTGCATTTTAGTTTTGATTAAAACCTTAATTTTTAGTCAAAAATTCTCAGAATTTGATTTCCCTAGCAATCTTCCCAAATATTAAAGTCCTCGCATTGAACAAAGAGTAATACAGTATTAAATTAGATACTTCGAATTAGAGGCCTGCATAAGTTCAAATTTTGAGGCCCGACTTAATAATTACATTCTATTGTTGATTGCTCGTGCATGTTATACTCCTTTTCTAATTAATAAATAATGTATTAATCTTCTAATTATTATAAACTTGACATTTAAATGTGAATTCCAATTAAAATAACTAATTTCTTTAACAAGGAAAGAATAAATTTGTCGCAGAATAATTTTAAAGAAAAATCGAATCCTAGACTTGGAAATTAGAATTAAGAAAGTAGATCAAAGTAACGTTCACAAATCATGCATTTAGAAGAAAAAGGTTATAGCGTGAGAAGAGCAGCTAAATCCAAGCAAGAAACAATAAATAATAGTTAATAAAGATTAGAGAATGAGAAGAAACAACCAAAGTCAATCAAGAAATTATTGATGAATTGGAAGAAAGGATCAGAAAATTTGAATTAATCATTTATGTGGATAGTTAGTTACTAATAAGGATGACATATTAAACACTTTGATGGATTGCAAATAACAATAATCGCTGTAAGACTCAAATAATCAGCATGTCTACCTAACTCCTCAGAGTAACTTTATTGTCAAAGGCCTTAAATTACCAGCTTATCGATTTTATCTAGTTCTTTATGACGAACGAAAATAACCAATTTTACCTAACTCCTTAACAAACTTATGGAGTTTGAATACCCGATTCTTAACGGGATATCAAACCTGAATTTTTAAAAACTCAATACTCCAATAAACTTTCCTTTTTTTATAAGCGAATATTTAAGTCAAAATTTTGGTTTTTTAATAATCACATTGTCTTATTAACATAATTAGGTTTGAACTTTTTCTTTTCAAATTATAAATTTCATTACAATATTCTTTTCTTTAAAAAAAAAATTAATTATATTGACTAAAAAATATGATTTGACATTATATTTTTAAATAATCAGGTTATTTATTATACATGTCGCTCGGGTAAGATTTTCAAAAAAAAAAAAAATCATATAATAGCATTGTAGTTTATTTCATAAGCTAATGATACATTTTATATAATAAATGATCATAATTACTTCTTTCACTTGTCTGACGATGTAAATAATAGCTTAATTAATATAATTACAACGATTTCAAATTCAAACTGACCTTCATTTGCTCTCCAATCTAAATAAAAAACACGTGACTATGGATAAAATCCTCCAAGTTATAATCATCACATAACTCATGAAACTTTTTTGGAGTAAATCCATCTCGACTTCCCCTTGATATCAATTTAAATTCATAAGGTAAATATAATTCTCTTGTATGAGAAAATCTGCTTTGAATATCTATTTTATCAATCCATCTTGAAATCAAAGAAACAATATTTAAATTAACGATCTTTGTGTCCACAATTCCATCAGCGTTTCTACTTCTAGGAATAAAATACCATCACTTGGGCTCACTTCCTGGATCAAATAAGAATTTAGTAAATCTTCGTAAAGTTGTTGATTCAAAAGCTTTTTATATGGACGAACTTTTTTGATGATATCTTCAGAAGATAAACTAAAAAATCTAATTAAAGGCAAACAGTGTTGTAAAGTACACTCCATCATTTTGAAATCATTATTTGACCAAGCCTCAGGATCAGAAACAAGTGTAGGATTTTTTTCAAGACCCCATTTTATTAAGTATTCACAAATTTCAACCTCTCTCATTTGTAAGTCATCTCGTTTGATAATTGAAATTAAGGCCATTTCATAAAGAGAAGTAAAGTCAAGTGATTTAAATACCTTGTCAGGTGATTTGACCAAAAGTTCTGTACAATGTTGTTGAAGTTCAGATAAAGAATTAGATTGACAGCTTTTGGAATTAGTTCGTTGAAAATGTTTTTATACCCAGTCGGGTTTGTCTTTAATTAAATAATTTTGTAAATATTCAACTAACTCATGAAGGAGAAGCTCATTAGCTGCACTCAAGATTTCGAAAAAATCCGAGTATCACACTCATCTAATGAAATGATCCCGCCATAAATATATCACATTATAATATATCGAAACTTACTTCAAAATAATTTGAAAGGTTTCCGGTAAAATATTTGGCAATTTTATGTGTGTTAAGTTCCCATCATTATTCTTTTTATTGGAAGCCAAAGTTCGTCGAAAAAATGGAGAACGGTGACACAATATAATCATGTGTGCATGAATATTTTCACGTTTGGGTCTTCCCCTGTTTCGATTGTAATATCATAATATTCGTCGTCGTCCAATACTTCAATATAATTTTGACTTAATTTGGGAAAAATTGTGTCAACATATTTGCTCATAAATTTTCAAAGAAAATCTTTTTGGGAAAGAAAAAAAATTTGTAAATCCTTTTTATTTAAATATCATCATCGAAATTCTAGAATTGATACATATATTACTTAATTAAGACTAGTCCAGATTTAATTTTAGCCAAAGTTTATTACGTTAAATTTTCATTGATGAAATGTTAAAAGAGAAAATGTATGTAAGAAAATAAATAGGCTGGTTCGTTCGTTAACAAAAATTGACAAATTATATGAAATTGCCATCTTACTAGTTGGGAGAATTGGTTAACATGGATTACAAATATTGTCGGCGCAATCTTTTTCCTAAATTAAAGACAGCATCTTCATCATGAAATACTATGAATTGACTAAGGATGTGTAAATAATAGGGTTGAAATCAGTTTAAAAAATTAACCGTAAGTTACAAAATTTTATTAAGCATTGAAAAGACAAATATATCAGTTTATCTTACATTGATTCAAATTATCAAGTTATTAAATTTAAAATTTAAGTTGCAACGTTGATAGATGAGGAATATTTTAAATTTGAAATCAAAGTCATGAATGATAATTGAAATTTTATTTGATGGTCTTTCTTTCAAACAAAATTGAAAAGTAATGGATTTACTTTATTATCAATAATTCTATTTCATCTTAAAATGAAATTATAAATATAAATACTGCTGATACTTTTTTTTTAAAATAATCGATTAGCAATTATATTATTTGAAGTTAAAAAAAAAGTTTTAGCAACACAGTTATGATAATTAATTTATTATTTATTTATTAACTAAAGATTCGTTGAGACTTACTTATATTATAAATTATGAGCAAATATTATTTATTCATCTCTATAAAAATATCCGTTGGGCCAGGAGAGGTAAAAAAATTTATTTAGAAGATTTAAGTATATAACTTAAATTGTGGAAAAAAAGTATTTTATTTTCTTGTCGCATATCTTTGACGCAGTTTGTTTTTTGTAATTATACGCGAAGTGTAATATAACACGCGATAAGGTACGGGAAGAAGAGGTTGTGTAAAACTTGCAAATATAGTCAAAAAAAATTTAGCGCACGATAATTGTCAAGTTTGACAGTAGCTTATAATCGCTGATGTTTAAAACGCATGATATGTAATAAATGTAACATACATTTATTTTCCAAACCTTAAGAAGGGCAATTTATAGAAAGATTAATTATTTTCACACTAATATTATTTCACTTCATTACAGAAAATTTGAGCTAATAACCTTGAATTAATCCTTTCCCCTTCTCCGTTGCGATATTATCTCTTTCGCTATTTTATCTCCATGATATTTCTTATGTTTACATCGTAGTTTTAATTAATTAGCATTTACTGATTAGCGTTTAGTTTAGTTAATAAAATTGAAGTGCGAAAGTGTAGAGCGCCGAACACTGATTAATTAATTTTATTGAACAACTAGTTGATGAAATCATTTGCGAAAATTTGTAATTAAAGCACTCAGGTATGAATCTCTTAACCTCCAATTCGTTTCTTACGTAAATGGTCATCTTCCATATGCTTCATTTAAAGGTATCCATTGCTGAATGTCTTTGAACATACGGGAGGAATGGTTTAGATTTTCATTTTCTGTTTCGGATTCTGAAGATGCCTGTGGTATCATAGAATATATGATCGAATCTATGAAATAAAATGAACAACGACTCACTTGCGAAATTACTTCTTTATCTTCCATACTTCCAGCTTAAACCTGGCAAAGTATCACCTCTATCTAAGTTCTCCAGCCACGGTGACGACGAAAGACATTGTTATTTGAGTTTCGCTGATAAACCCAGATCTGATCATTAATTAATAGGATCGATTAGCCATCCAAGCTGAACGGATGTATCTGACGCAACATATGTTTCTTTTGAATTTGGAATCAAGCATTTTGGCCTCGAACGGAGGAGCCTTGCTCTTGAGTCAGATTTCGATGAATATTTTTTGGCGTTAAGGCAACATTTGGAGCTTGAATCTCGCTTGTTTCGAGTATAAAACCACCTGCGAGGAAGACATGCTATCGTTCTGTCCAGTCTGGATGTTCCAATTACGGAGGGAGTTGTCCTACGATTTTCGATACAGCAATTTCCTTGAAAATTGGTGTTTGCGACATAGGAACGATCGCCAGATTTATCAAGTTCGAAATGACTGAAGAGAAAATTTTTTCTTCCGATTTTTGAGCTGATCGTTTTATAATTTCAAACTCTTCGAGAGTGTATGTAAGTGCGATCTAGGTCCAAATGATCCAAATAATCCGACTTCCTAGCAATTTTCTTATTCCTATCAACACTTACAGTTCCACCCACTGACTTAGATTTATCGTTTTAGACATGTTTGCTTGGCCAAAATTAAAGAAAAGTGAGAGAGATCGTTGACAACAGTTTAAAAACTTTTTTAGCCTATAATTTACTGCGCCAATCAGCACGTGCCGTCGATTGACGAAAATCAAATGTCATGAGCCAGAAAAATGGATCAGCATCGTGATAGGCATGTTTCAAGAAGCTAGCCAAGCATAAATATAACATACCTCTGTGGAATGTTCTTTCCTCCTTCCGCCTTCGTTAGATTTATCTCTTTTACTGACGATGGAAAGAACCGTAATTTTATCAATATCAAGACCGGAGGATTTTAATTGTATAAAAATAAGTATTTATTAAGGTTTTATTTAATTGTTTTTATATAAGCTACTTGATATCACAAAAATAATCGTCTACATCTTGTGAGCAAGCACGATAATTACATTTAATATAAATAATTTTTTTTTAATATAACGCATGGAACATCCAGACATTTATTTACAGTACATTCATGGAAAGGATTGTTATTTTATTTGTTCAAAAGCAAATATTGAATTGCTATAATAATGAGCGAATAATATGTGTCGCAGCACGCACATAAGACATATAATTGTTTATAATCATTAGCTTAAATCAGAACTCTCTATTTCGATCGGATTTAATTGTTTGCCTAATTTGCATAACTATTTTCTAATTTTCCGGTATAGTACTCATGAAATCAAATCATACAAATTACGATAGGTTATGAAGTTCAATATAAATAAATTTGGGAGGAAATTCATCAAAAATGATTGGAGCGCAGTAAACATGGCTGCTCTTTATTTAATTAATTTGGGGTAACACAAATTGTTGTGTAACAAACAGATTACGTTCATTTATCTCCGCTTGTAGGGTTTTCAGGTTATAGAATAGTTTCATAAAAACTAAAAAAAAGGTTTTCCATTCAACTCCGTATTATTGAAAATTAACATGCCTTATTATAATTATATTTCATTTAATTTATTTCTTATTCTAATTTTCCATCCCTTTTTTGGAGTTGAAACATTTACTCCTCTAGGGCGTACAAGCCATTCCTCTATTCTTTTCGAAAATAAAATTTATTTCTTTGGGGGAAATGTTGGAAATGAAAATGATAATTTCACAAATGACGTATTTTTTCTTGATGTATCTCAACAGTTCAACGTGGATTTTCCGACATGGTCCGACCTTCCAATAAATTCAAAAATAGGATTTAAAAGTGCTAATGCAGCTATTACATT